AGTGAATGAAAATTGAAAAGAAGAAGTAATTGTTAATGTGGATTTAAAATCGATGAAATATTGAAATATATTCAGTTCAAAAGTGAAGGAAACTTTTTAACTGAAATTGACAAATTCAGTTTTTTAATTGTAGTTGTAACTTCAAATGTAACATTACAAAGTGCATACACTAATTGAAAAAGTCAGCATACTTAAATATAGGGCTTAATTACTGTATGAAGACTGGATGAAAGTAGCTGAAGTATCAAATATTCTTCTTGCTTATGAAATTAACTGCTTTCTAAGATTTGCACGCTTTTTCATAACACTATAGTAAATGTTAACGTTTCGCTGAATTTAAAATTATTCTGTAAAAACTAACGCATTAAATTTTTTAAAAAACAATAAATCTTAAAATAAAAAATGTGGATAGCTTTGTACTAGCTGTTCCGTGAGTAGTAAAAGTACTTTCACAAATTTCATTATTTAATATTAATAGAAATTAGCATAAAAAATAATTCAAATTTAATTCATCAATTTTTAAATTATCCATCCACAATATTTAAGTTACGACACAAATTTCACCATATCTCGTGTTTCGCTTTTAAAAAACAAATATTAAAAGTTTTTTGCGCAATATTTGTTATAATATTTAATGAAAGCAAGATTTTATGTGAGATTTTCATTTTGGAAAAGGCATTCATCAATTAGTAATATTTCCTGGAATAAGTTTCTTTCGATTTTTGGAACCATTTCTATTGCAATTCTATTTAAAAAAAAGTATTCGTTACTCTAATTGAATTTTTAAACGCAAAAAAGATGGAGAAACTCTTAGAGAATCTTTTATACAGAAATAAACAATTAGAATTGGAGCAGTTCTTATGGTTTTTCATAACTGCGATCCGTTTCAGATCAGACGCGAATATGGCTGCTACGATGAAGTCTTCTTTTCAAATTACAGCCTTAACAAGCGTCAGTGCAATTGGATAAGATTCCTCCGTATAGTTCAGTCTTACGACGAACAAGTAAACTTAATTGGTACCAAAGTAAAAGGTAAGTTGATGAGTGCGTTAAACAAAATATAGTCAATTGTAAATACCAATAAAGTGCAGTAAATTATAATGCTTCATCTGCGTCAATCATGACAAATTTTCTCCTTAAATTATCAGCGTTACCAATTTCTCTACCGAATAGCAACGTAATTTGTTGAAATCTCGCTTAATGTCCGACATTTTTTTTTAACCTAACATTTTTTCTTTAATACGAGATAAAAATAGTTTAACAATCTCACCATAAAACAGATTTGAAACCAAAAATACTTGGTCAGCGATTCAACGTTCGAATTTAAGAGCTTAAATTTAAAATTTGTCTGTTTTCTCCTAAATTTCTCCAGATTCTCATACTTAAACTTCGTCGATCTACCTTATCGGCAAAATCTGTCGCATTATCGACAATTTTTCTTACCAGCAATTCTACATATTAACAAATTTATCGAACAATACTCCGAGATTAAAATTAATTACAGTAACTTTTTTTTATCATATTTTGCATTAACAAGCAAATTAATACACCTCACGTTTT